GGGGGGGGGGGGGGGGGGGGGGGGGGGGGGGGGGGGGGGGGGGGGGGGGGGGGGGGGGGGGGGGGGGGGGGGGGGGGGGGGGGGGGGGGGGGGGGGGGGGGGGGGGGGGGGGGGGGGGGGGGGGGGGGGGGGGGGGGGGGGGGGGGACCCTCAAGATGGTGAAGGAAGGAAGCTTCCCAGCATTAGAAGAAGAAAGAAAGAAAGAAAGAAGAATTAATTGTTGGGTTCGCATGATGTTATGTTACTTGCCAACCATGCACACCTCCAACACTATCCTGTGCCTTTGTCTTTTACATATACAATTTTCATGTAAGGACCCCTCTCTATATTAGGCTTTTCAAATACCTTCCCCCTTTTTTTCATAATTCATACAAAAAGCGCTTTCATTTTATTTTTAAAAATAAAGAACGCACCGAATATCTTTTGGTGGAACGTTTCAATTGGAGGAAGGACATCGAAATTATCGGTCTAAAAATTTGTAAAAGAATTTAAAAATTGAACAGTATTTCTTATTAATAACTATTGAACCATTGTGGGAGTTGATATCGACTTTCTATGTTTCGTCACCTTCGAGTCACTATTCCATTGAATAATTGATGAAACAGTTGAGTTTGAATAGACAATTTCTTACTTTATTTAATAAACTTGTCTATTTCTTACTTTATTTAATAAACTTGTCTCTTTACAAGTTGAATAGTATTGACAACTATTGAACTCAATAAATTTTTTAACTACCCTGTTTTAAAAATAAATATTTTAAAAAAATTATCTTACTTTTTCATACAAAAAAAAAAAAATCTTATAATATTGAGAAATTTGGTGGGCTCAAGTTGGGATTTGGGCCCACAATGCAAGCGTGGGAGATTTGGATTTGGATTTGGATTTGGAGGGGCAGCCCATTAGTGACTTTACATCATCGCGCGTGATGGGCTGGGCCCATTTAATCAGCACACGTGTGGCTCATCAACACGTGTGCCCACTCATCCTTCCATAGCATCCGCAAGTGGACCATTCTCCTATAATTTACCTTTCCTTCCCTTGGAAATTTGTAGGCGCCTTACCAATTTGATATTCATGATTTGTACTCGATTTCAATTTAGTTTATATATTAATTTTTTATGAGTTTTCATGTGATGACATGAGCGCCACCCTTCGCCGCCCTCTGCCAATCCTCCGCTGTCATCGCATAAATTCATCCGCCATTATTCACTACATCAACCTTAGCCAAAATGTCATCGAACTCAAGAAAACTCACGTCCTTATAATCAAATCCTCACCCAAAGCCCATCTTCTCCGCCGTCTCTTCACCCGGCTGCTTCAGTTTCCACCTGACAATTTGTTCTATGCCCACGACCTGTTCGACAAAATACCCAACTTCAAAAATCAGTTCACATGGACTTCTCTCATTCGCTATTATGTTCACCATTACCATTTTGGCCAATCCATATCCTTGTATGCTATGATGCAGCAGGCAGGCGTTCTGGAATCAGCGTTTACATTCTCGTCGGTGCTCTTGGCCTGCGCTAGTATACCAGTGGTGTCTGAAGGAAGACAAGTGCATGCAAGGGTTGTGCAGTTGGGTTTCTTGAGAAACAAGATTGTGCTAACTTCGCTGATGGATATGTATGCTAAATGTGGATTCATGCTGGATGCTAGGAATGTGTTTGTTGCAATAGACGATAAGGATATTGTTGCTTGGACTACTTTGATTCGAGGATACTGTAAGTTGGGAATGATGGATGATGCACAGGAGTTGTTTGATAAAATGGGGCAGCGAAATTCATTTTCTTGGGCAACTATGGTGGCTGGTTATGCCAACTGCGGCAACATGAAAGCTGCGAAGCAGTTGTATGATGCAATGCCAGGGAAAGGTCCAGTTTCTTGGCTTGCTATGATAGCAGGTTATGGGAGGTGCGGCAAAGTCGTAGAGGCCGAAAAGATCTTCAGTGAAATATCAGTACCAGATGCATTGTGTTGTGCAGCAATGGTGACTTGTTATTCTCAAAATGGGTATGCAAAAGAGGCCATTGAATTGTACAAGAAAATGAAAGAAGAAAATTTGGAACCCAATGCGGTAGCATTTGTAGGAGCAATATCAGCTTGTGTTCAACTAGGGGATGTTGAGATGGCCAGCAAATTATCTAACCAGGTTGAAAAAGGGTGCTGTGGTAAGTTCGTTATGCTATATTCAAGGTCAAAGGCTTTCCAGCACTTGAGTTTGACTAATATGATAGAATGTAGAATCGAGCAAGGGCTTGATTTGAAGCCTATAAATCAATGACCTTACTCGAACAAGATCTGTTCTATACGTAGTACAACTGTGTCATTGAGTTCCAAGTTCTAAAGCCTACAAATCATAGAAGACAAGACAAAAGTAAAGGACATTTCTCTATTCTAAAATAAAAATGCTAATGTCTTATTGGTTTTTCGTTTGAAATGCAGATCGGAATCTCTTTGTCTCCAATGCACTGATCCACTTGCATTCAAAATTTGGCGATATTAAAAAGGCACGAGAAGAATTCAACAGAACGAAGGATAGAGATATGGTAACTTACAGTACGTTGATCACAGCCCTTGCTGACCATGGAAAAGCCAACGAAGCCTTGGATCTCTTCTCCAAGATGCAAGAAGAAGGTATAAAGCCAAACCAAGTTTGTTTCACTGGTGTACTAAATGCCTGTGGCCATGCAGGGATGATTGAACAAGGATGCAAGCTTTTTGAACTTATGAACAAGGTTTTCGGCATTGAGCCGCTAAAGGAGCATTATACCTGCATGGTTGATCTCCTAGGAAGAGCTGGTGAGGTTGAAACAGCATACAGTCTTATAAAGGGTAATGAAAGGGCAATTGATGCTAAAATTTGGGGGTCATTGCTAGGAGCTTGCAAGATCCATGGTAATGTGGAGTTGGGGGAGATTGCTGCTAGGCATCTATTTGAAATGGAGCCTGAGAATACAGGAAATTATGTGCTTTTGGCAAATACATACGCTCAGAGGAAGAAATGGGATGAAGCGGAGAGGGTTAGGAATATGATGGCTGAAAGAGGAATAAAAAAATCTCCGGGGTACAGTTGGATAAGATCTACATAAATGAGCATTTTTCTGAACTAGTTCAATGTTGTAGGGATATTTTTGTGCACATGTACATTTGACAGGTCAGTATTAGTAAACAAAATATGTATTCAGAAAGTTCAATACAAGGCAATACGTTCTTCAGGTTGTAATAGAAGAACCCTAATTGTTATTTACAACAAGAACAAATGATTCTACCGATTACTGTGCTAAATCCATGTCAGCTCTTCTAAACTCCTATGTGCTTTATCTATACATGTGTGCAACATTTCCGTAGAAGCTGTTGTTTCTTCTATCAATATACTACAATTTAATATATAAGAGAACAGTAAGAATTAAACACAAAAGTAACATATTATTGGGTGATTCAAATTTCAATATTTAAATCAAACTAACAGATAAAAGTTTTGGCCTATCTTTCATAAATTCATAATTTTGAGAACATTGCATGGAATTGTAGTTCTAGTCAATCCAAACATTTAAAATACAAAGGATTTCTTATCAATAACTTCCAATAACATCATGGTCTAAGAAAGACTTGCCGATGCTGAGCAGAGCCAGTGAAAGCAACACAATAGTCTCTCATCAGAACCTTCGTGGATCGATTGAGGATATAAAACTAACCGGATATGTCACAATCTTCAACGAGTAGTAGCTCTACTTCAAACAAGCACACTCCAGATCTGCGTGGTATTATCAAATGCTGTAATTAAGTCTTTAAAGGAGCCTTCTTTTCTCTGTCAGATATTCGAGCTGGACCTGTTGTATGTGACTTGAAACGACCTCTCCCTCCCTCTTCCTTTTCCTGAAAAATCAAATTGCAGGTTGCAGGTTGCATGTGTCATATAAACAACCAAAATACACAAATAAATAAATTCTTTCATTTCATAATCAAAAAGAATAGTGAGGAATCATGTCATAGGTTCCAAAAAGTTCCCAGTTAAATTAGCCAAGACAAACAACTTTCTGTACCTTTTTCTTAACAATCTGGACCACATCCTCGTCATGAAGAACATGACCAAGGCCACAATGCTGAGGATAGTGCCTTGCACTTGTACCCCATACAAGCACGTATTTAACATCCTTAACCAAACTCCTGTGGATATGATTGCAGAAGTCCTCGACTGTACAGCCACCTCTATCCTAAAATTACATTCATGGAGTGGTGTCAAAAAGAAAAGGATTAGAACAAATACACCAATAAATGGTTCTAAAAAGGGAAAAGGGAGGGTAAGGCATACAGCAGAAAGAACAACTGGATCTGAGAAATCAGGTTGTTGGCCTTGAGGCTTGGTATAAACCCTAACAAGGCCCATCTCCTCCCACATCCTAGATAGTAGTCTGTCTAAGTTCAACTGTCCAAATAAAATCCATTTCAACTGGTAAGTCACATATAAACAACGGATCTACTGCTTATACTACCTTGAGTTCACACCAGATGTGATGTGAATGTAACTTAACTACAGGTTCAGAATATATGGTAACATTTTATTATTTAAACAAATAGAAGATTAGAGAAAACCAGAAAAGATTGTGCATATCAGCATGTTACAGTCAAAACTCGGAAGCAAAATTGCTGAAGATTTTTTAGTGCGAGAATGTAAGACATGTTACAATATTTGTTCAATATGAATATCCAAAGGCAAATAAACATTAAATTCTCCATTCAAACTAGGAGGAAACTGAAATGATAGAACATACCTTGAGATTACAACTAATGACAACAGAATTGGGCTGACGGGCTAACTTGTCTACATCGTCAATCCCAACTACATCAATCTTGTTGTAGACATACACACATTTCATGTACTTACGGTTCCCCTCAATTACATCAATAAGATCATCAACTGTAGCATCCTCTCGAAAGAGTACCTGGAGAAAATAACATATTCCACTGAGAAGTCATCAGAAAAATCAAACATAACGGGCATGTGGATATGTAGATATAGAATGGTGTAAAACTAGCCTAATATCCTCTATCTATGAACATGCAAAAAAAAAAAAAAAAAAAATCCTACAGAAGAAAGAGAAAGATATTCATGCATATGTGCTGCTTAAATTCCTCACCAAAAGGTCAACCTCCAAATACTCGGAACCTTCTGTCAGTTGGAAACCGAGAGAAAAAGTACAAAGTGGAACAAACCGGCTGTTTTCAAAGGTCGGAGATAAACTCTAGTACAATCGGTTTTATGTTATCAAGAATATGCTAAATATTATTTTCCCCTGCTTTCTTTACCTGCTATAATTGGAAATAAAGAATTTTGCAGGGATGGATCCACCAGGTCCCATAGATACTAGACAACTTAGCTTAGCTAAAGCATCCAGGTTTAAATCCACCCATACCATATGTAATTTAATATTCTAAGAAAAAACAAATTAAAAGCTCAATCTGCACTAAATTGGATTTGTCATATTTGAATCAGCATTGATGCTAACCACGAGCGCCAGATAGAAACCACAATAGCTTAATAGAATTTGTTTTCAACTATTCTCTCTTCATAGCTAAGTGGAAAGACTTTTTATGTATCCTACATATTCAGTTTGGGAACGACCACACCTATGACCAGTTTTGTGACTTCTTGTTCAGTAATATGGACTTTTTCTTGCTTCCCAAAAAATAAGAAATTGGAAATTAAAAAAAAAACAAAAACAAAAAGTAGAACGTTTAAGGTAGTAATCACTTATGCCATGGAAGGCAGGCAACCCAAAATTAAAGATCAGAAATTAAGTGTGAAAAGCCAGTAATCTAAGTTCAATTGAAAGCTATACCTCTGCATTGTGAATTTTGTACTCATGTAGAATTTGATAGCAGAGCTTCTCATCAACATGAGTTAAAGGAAGTGTACTATTGAATGAAATACCACCAGTTTTTTTCTTCTTGAAATATATCTGCATGTAAAAATTAAAGCAGAGAAAATTGAAACACCAACTGATTAACCAATCAACAAGCATGAATGAGAAGAATTTTCTAATTCAGCCAAATTGAAGTAGAAAATGGGAACACTAGTGAAAAAACTAGTAAAGCCAAAACTTACTTGAGGTGGTCTCTGGTTCAAACGCAAACCCACTGCTTCCAGCTCCCTTGTTAGAATCTGGCGATGGCCCTCACTCTAAAGATACATTGAAATTGTATATCATAGAATGTTGGCTTAATTTACACCCATAAGAAGGTGAGAACTAAAAATTAAAAAGAAATTAAAGTAAACTACAGACAATGCTTGTGAACTGATTATAAAACAGTAGAATGGAAAATAAAACAATATCAAATAAACATTCCAAAATGTAGCATATAGTAATAGGCATATTCAGATAGTTAATAAAATAGAAGAATCCAGTCGTCATAGTATGACTAAGAAGTTTAAAAACAAAATACTGGCCTTATAGGAACCTAGCATACCATGAGAAAAATTTGCTTGTGACGAGACCCATGTGAATGTCATGCATTTGGAAGGGACAATATTCTCTAAACACAAAAAACCAATAGGAAACGTGAATTGATATTCGACTTTCAAACAGTTCTTGCAAATGAAGAAATAATGTTTTTATTATTGTTCCAGATTTCCCTGTGAAAACTCAATCATAGGCTTTATCAGAGACCTTAGTTTTAGCGCTGAACATAAAAAAAGTGAAATGATTCATCATACACCAAAAAAAAGGAGCACATCAAGAGAATAAGGCAGTTAAGACTTACTTTTGAGGCATCAAGAACCATCAAGACTAAGTCTGAAGACTTGGAAACAGCAATAACCTATAAATACAGTTCAAGAAAATATAACATCCATGATGCCCATTATAATGAATAGTTCGAAGAGAAGTAGTTCAAGTGGTACAAAAACAAAAGTGTTTAACCACTCTTCAAATAAAATAAAATAAAATAAATCATGAGATCATATCATCTACAAAATGGTTTCTCGTGTGGTATAAGCCTAAAAATAATAATAATATTTTACCTGTCTACCACGCCCCTTTCCTTCAGACGCACCTTCAATAATTCCAGGAAGATCAAGTAGCTGAATTTTGGTGTCGTTGTAATGTATAATCCCAGGAATGCAAGTAAGTGTTGTAAACTCATAGGAGGCAGCTTCTGATTGAGTGCCTGTCAACATTGTTAAAAGTGTGGACTTTCCCACACTACAAAAGGAAGGAGACTTGTCAGGTTGATTCCTCTGATATCAAAACAATGTTATTCTACAGATGAATAGACAACAATTACTTACTACGTAATAAAATTCTACAAGGTCATATCGAACCAGAAACTCAATTCAAAAAACAAATTGACAACCAGATTAATTATTTTTTTAAAAAGAAATTAGAATGATAGCTCTTGTTTCTTATCAAAAGAAGAGAAGAAAAACTAGGACGCCCAACATGGTTTGGACACAAACATCTGGATGATCAGAGCACGTAGGTTCAAAATTTTTTATAGTTAAGTTTTTGTTCAGAGCCCCTAGATGGTCTGCTTCCGATATCAAATTCAAGTACCTCTTTTCTCCAGTTTTAAAAGAAATAACTATTGTAAAGTTACAACAGCAAAAACCTGGGAAATCCTATGAGTGCAACACGCCCATGGCCATATTTGGTAACTTCAAAACCCTCTCCACCTCCACTTGAACCCTGAATGCACCATGTGAAAAATAGTAAATAAGAAATCCAAATTTTCACGAGTCACACCATACAAGGGAGCCAAGAAAAAATAACAAAGAGTAGGTCTTGGCAAAGTTAGCATGGAATAAAATCGGCGATGTTCTGAAAACAAAGATTTAAGAACTACCATCCTATCAAAGTACGACAAATAGTGACTTTTATGAACTAGTTCATTAGTATGCAGAACAAACAACAGGACGCATCAAGCGCACAGAATATATGAATTGTAAAATGGTTGAAAGAGGATAAATGGTTATAAAGGCTAGGGTAGGAAAACAGAAACCTCTTATTACGTTTGTCTCTTTCATTGCATCATCCTCGATACATCATGAACTAGCTAAATGATTGATAATATGAATTTGGATTTATGACTTTTTTAGGGAATAAACAAAGATAACGACAAAAAAAAAAAAGGATTTGTATTTACCTAGCTCAAACTAATTACTAGATTATTCTTTTAAAGAGGCAATATTGAACTAAATTTTGAAATCACTTCTCGGTGACAATAACGAGTGAATTATTCACAAATCGACGTGTAGTATGATGAAAACACTAGAACAAATAGGGAACTGTCAATTTCCAATAAGACAAGGGAGTACATCACGAGAGAAGCAGATGCATTCGCACAGGTCTCACTTAAAAGCTTACAAAACTAAATGAAGTAATCAGCAGACATTGGGAAACATAAGATATGCGTACTTTTGGAGGCTCTAACAACTGCGTCCTCAACTTTGCTATCTTTGCCTTCAGCTGACCAAGATGATATTCTGCATTTTGAGAAATACAAAAGACACCGTTTTGAACACGAACCAGAAAAAGGACGGAAAATTCTGGTACAAGCACGACGTAAAAGGAAGAGACTGATGATAAAAGATTAATGGATGAAGCCCAGTACCCGTGGCCTTATTTTTCTGAGTCCGAGCCATCTCGGCCTCGATTTCTTTAATTCTTTCAATTATTCCCATTTTGCGACGTCTTCAACTGCAAAACCACAATCGAAGCATTACAAAACAAAAGAAGTTGATTACTTCCGATGAATGTCTGTTTTGTACATCGATAAATTGCCTAAAGAACAAATGAAAGCAACAGAAAATCGATCATAATCATGAATTCAAGTTTTAAGTTCAATTGTGTGCTTCAACGAACCGTGAGCTGCAGTTATGAATGAATAATTCAGAAAGTTACAAAACAACCGAAGAAACAAAGAAGATGACGGAAGCAAGAACGTAGAATATGACTCACTGTGATCGACTAGCGGAGGATCTGTGGGGCTTGAATCACGGAGGAGGGATGGAGGAGGGACGGTGGAGGGAAAGAGAGGCCAGATAGAGTAGGTCTCTAGAGAACTAGATTGAACAGCATTGGGCTTTTTCAGAGGCCCACTCATTCAAAAGGTCCACCTGCTCTGTAAGGGTAAGAAAAATAAGAATATGTTTATATCACTACCTCAAATTAGAGGTTGGATATGGATATTAATCGTTATCTTTAATATCTTTTATAAATACGTATATTAACTCTAATATAAGTATAAATAATAAACAATTCTAAAAATAAAAGTACCTTAAATATTTTTTAAATTTTCTCGAATTACTGAAATAGTGGTTAGTATTGATATTTTATATGTTTAGTAAAACTTCATAATCATAAAACTCGACCATTAATGAAAAGTTTATCCAAGTACATTTTTTTTTTCTTTCATAGGTCTCTCAATCAGCCATTAGAATGTTCGTATAAATGATTGATTGACAGTAAATTATATTGTTTCAACAGGCTGAAGAAAAAGTCTACATATTTACAGATGGCCAGAAACTCATTGGCTTAAAGACACCATTCAACCAACACCACGCCTGTGTTATTCATTTAAAAGTGTCTACAAAAAATTTTAACTCCAGATTCAAACCGATAGTAAGTAACAAAAACAGTAACAAGAGGTAAGCTCAAATCCCATAAATTAAACTCTAGGAATTAATATATGACTAATCTCTTCATTCCTCCTATACTGCAAGTGAGCATGGAAAGGCTCAGCATTATACTTCTGGAATCTCTATTTCAACGGCTGGTGGTAGAGGAACAGCAGATGATGGCCTGATGTGGTCCTCCTCCTCCTTGGGTGTGTGGATAGTAACCAAATCAGGCAAAGGAGTGGTGGGTCCTTGCTTACCCTTAGGATCCCAATCAAGCATGATCTTAACTTTAATCCCAAGAACACCCTAGAAGATGAATAATCACAATCAATTGGTATTCAGTTAACAGTATGGAAGATGGTGAAGACATTCTTTCGCTTAAGGGCGAAAGCTAACCTGTCTTAAGAGGACGTGTCTCACGGCAGAGTCAATATAATCTCTGCATGGCTGACCGGAGGATATCATATATCCGTCCTTGAACTTCATCGACTTTGCACGCTGTGCCCTGAGCTTACCACTAACAATGACCTGCATATAGAAATGAAACATTTAAGCATTTAAGCGACATGAAAGAGGTGCTTGTTCTGTGGCTTACTAGAAAAGTTGTGGAAGAAAATAACATTTGGAACAACACAGACCTCACATCCTTTTGCCCCGCTCTCCATAACAAATCTAAGAACACCATAGCAAGCTCTGTAAAAATGAGGAAGAAAGATCAGCCCACCAATAATAAAATATATAAATCAAGAAACTACAGAATACAGGAACATCAAAAATTCCCATGAGTTCAGTATATATGTTCTTGTTAAAAATTGAGCACGATCAGTATAAATTCACTTCCATAATTTCTTAGAACAAATAAAAACAACACCAAAAACCATAAATATGAAGAGGAATCATGTGATCAAGAACATTTATCAAGGTCAAGATGTCACTCTCGAGCCAAGGGACAACTATTTGATCTACAAATCAGAATCAAGAAACTCCTTGAAACTATGACTTAAAAGCATTTAGATAGAAAGTTTGTAGACCTCAAACTCATTTAAGTTCGCAGCTTGCACCTTTAACCAATGGGCCAACCAAGGATGACTATGACCAAATAAACCACCTAATAACAACGCACTCCCTAAAGTATATGAAAAAAGAAAAAGAAGGGCAGGCAAGGCAAGGTGTATAAATGTGTCTACCTTAACATGTGCTTATCAATACATACAGCTAATCCTCTTAGGCACAGAGTATCATTTGCTCACCTCCATGCAAATTATAAATAAAAAAATTGTGGAGCTTCCGAACCCCCAGAACTATGCAAGAACGACAGTTCTAGGAAACTATAAACTCCATCACTACATATAAGCATTTTGAAGAGATCTCTTAACCCATACATATTGAAAAAAGGATGTGTGCAATGCTCAAAATATAAAAAAATAAAAATAAAAATCACGCATACCACAAGACAAGTCACAACTTTAAATGTCTAGACAGTTTCTAAGGAACACCTTGACCATACCCCATCCAAAGATTATTAAATACATGGAGATTATCGTTGCAGAATACAGATTATGGACGACACTCGGAAGACATTCTCTCTGAATATAGAATTCAAAGTACGAATAAATATCTAGAGGAACATGAAAAATTGTATCCATCTTTGAAACGAATTAAACTCGAGTTTAAAAATAGAAAATAAGATGGACCTCCTGACAGCAAGCCCTCCTAGAAGCTTGTAGCGCAGAGATTCAGCCTGAGCAATAGCACATAGACCTCTGTTGTTGACTTTCTCAGCATAGAGCTCAACACTGTTCTCGGGGAATTTAAACCGCTTTTGAACAACAGATGTTAATTCTCTGATTCTTCTTCCCTTCTCACCTGCGCACATCAATTTGAACATTCTTAAAAAAATAAAAATAAAAAACTAAAAAAAGCATCATTCTAAATTTTCCGCCAAGAGCTTTGAAAAACAGAAACAAAAATATTACCTAGAACATTTTGTGTCCGAGTTGCCCTGATTATAATCTCAGTACGCATCGGCGTAACCCTAACCTCGACGCCGGAGTAGCCGTCCTCAGCGAGCTCTCTGGTCAGCACTTCGTTGAGCTCAGCGAAGAAAACTCCATCGGCGACAAACTAAATCCAATTAAGAACAAAAATGATCGTTAGATGAACCGAAAAAAGGCATCCGACTCTTAATAGCTTATGAATCAAACGAAGTAACCTTTCGTTTCTTGCTCATTTGGGAAGCCATGAATGAATGTTGTCGAACACTACAGCTTATCTCTTTGATGAACTCTCACAGTCTCACAGAAGCCCTAGTGAATTTGGCCTTCGGGTGGAGAACAGTGGAAGACGATCGAAAACTTATTGATACCAAAAGGCGACCTGTTCGATATCTCGACCTTTTAATCTGTTTTATTTAATTTTTATTTTTTTGCATGTTTATTAGGTTGAATGCATAATTGAAAAATTCCATTTTTAACCTCAATTCTCACAAGTTCGTATATATTTTAAAATCAATTTTGAAATTCAAGAATATTTTTAAAAATCTAAGAGAATAATTAAAATTTCTTATTTTTACTAACGAAAAAAAATTAAAAAACTGATGTGTGTCGAATAATTAAAAGATGAATATAATTATTTCAATTATCGCGTCAATTAATATCCTTCATTTTAATTGGAGCGTTGGATGAAAATTTTGAACCAATCACAAATTGTCACGCTAATATTTAAAATTAATGAAAAAAGTAAGAAGTAATTTGCGACCAATTTTCTATATTTTAAAAGACAAAAAATCAGAAACAAAATCGAAAAATAAATGGACCGAACAATTGAAGCCCAATGCAAAGCCCAAACTTGCGCCGAACAACATCTTCCGATCCAAATCGGAGATTGTACCCCAGACGGAGGGGTGGCAGTTCCATTCCAGCCGTCCACGACGGGGCAACATGATGGCTTCAGCGGAATATTCTATTTCTACTCGGAAAGATGAGCTTCTTGACGATGTATGAACAAACTCACCTTCAAATTGAGCTTATTATGCTATATTTTGATGCATTGAACAGTTGAGCTTTATTCAATCTTTAGACTTAGTTGATCTGATAATAGAAGAACTGTTTCATAGTTTCTGTTTAATTTTGATGTGGTTTTCGATCAGGATTTATTGATGTCAATTCATCGAGACGTCTCGGTATTCATCTGAATTATGAAATAGTCTCTTTTTTGTCTGCCAATTCACTTGAAACTAACGACAATTCACTATCCTAATTGTTTCTATTCTTTGAAGTTTGTGTTTGTCCACTGTGCACTCTCAACAGGTCCAGATGCGACAGTTATTGATTTATATAATGTGAGTTGATATTGACTCATTTCTTCCATTGATGTTCAAGTTGCGTTTGTATTCTGTTTTCTTTAATTTTTGGGAGAAGAAAAGGAGGTGGTGGGGAATTGCTTTTCAGAAGAATTGGCTGGAAATGGAAAAAATCTTACAAAAACTCGATAAAAATTGACATCTTAATTGATTGGGTATCTTCATTGAAAGTGCAGAGTATAGACCTCTGATGTTGATGTTGGTCATGAATCATTTATGAAAACACCGATCATCGTATATTCTTTGGGGTGAAAGAAAAAGGCTCGAGCAACCTAGATTTGGAAACTTTCTGAAGCATGATCATCTGCAAATGTAGCATCAGATGAGTACCCCTCAATGTTTTATACATTCGTTTTTGTATCACCTTTCTCTGAGGGGCCGTGTATGGATAAAATTGTTCCGAGTTCATAGCAGCTTTTCAATCTGTTAATGTACCTAAGAATAAATATGTGGTTTTTCATATTCACATGAGTTTTAAGGTTTTTTCAAGTCCTAGTAGCTAGGTATCTTATTGATTTATCTTTTTTCCTGTGCCTATTTGCAGAACTTTGGAATTGATGGGAAGTTGGTGGTATATTTTACCTGCTCCATTGCTTGGGGCTAATGTGCAGTCTGGTAATGTCTCACTGCTATGGCTTTAAACTCGTCCATTTATTTTTTTACAAACTACACATTTTAGGCTCTTACCCAGATGGAAAAAAACATTTCAAGATGAGTTATAGAGTCATACCTGTCAAGGTCCATAGTCTATAATTATTTATTGATTTATTTGATAGACCTATTTAATTAGTTGTTTTGACGTAGAATATGAAAGCCAAAGGATATTTTGTTCCGAATAGTGATACGAAAGCTCAAATTCTCGATTACCCTACTCGGTTCCATATTTTTCTTATCATAGCAGCTATTGACCATCACAAGTGCTCACTCCTATCTGAATGCCATATTTTGTCTGATGAAATAGATCAGTCCAAGATAAAATTACTTTGTGTTTAGCCTTTGCACGTTGACTGGTGCCTAGTGACATACTTTGTGTTTAGTCTTTGTATCAAATAGATCAGTTCAAGGCAACATGCTGGGGGTACACAAATTCTCTTGTTGTTAAGTTTTTCTCCATGGTAAGAGTTAGCTGGGAACATAAAATTATAATAGTAAGCTGTATTGGGGGCCAATTTGATGGAATAGGCAGGAGGAAACACAAACAAATGAGTTTGACGACCGTCTGGGTGTTATGTAGATAATAGTAGATTAGTACTTTAGCTTTTCTGTAAACTTGTGCACATCTGATTTTGTTTGGGTAAAATCCAAGAATGGCCAGATATACTCTGACCATATCAGGCCGAGTGTTATGTGGTGGAGGAATGCTGGTCTGCACTGTTTGTCTGATTCTGACCATCTGAAAATTTGGTCTAAACTCGTGAAAAAAAGTGAACAATTTTTTGTCTTTCAGAATGATTCTTTTCATATCCCCACCACAGCTTTGGCTTATGAGGCAATATCTAGAAAACTTAAACCATACCCTCTTATTGAGTGCACTAGAAAACTCCATAACCTCTCTCTAAACTTGAGGGATTACTATATGTAGCACAAAATCTCTCTCTCCCTCTAAATTTAGGAGATTTCCATATTCACGCTAGCTGTTTCTTGCTGGTTCCTACGGTCGAACTTTCTTGTCTTTCATTATATTGGGAGAAGTTTAAAGAGTTAGAATCTTTGGAGTTTGGAATATGATATTTTGATAGTTGATCGCAGGTAGAGTAGATAGAGCAAGATCAAGTTAGTTGGAACCAGTTCATCCGCAAACCAAATACTTGGAGAAGGCTATGAATGAAACAATAAAATTTTAGGTAAATCACTAATGATTTGAATGAGAGTGCAGTGCACTAACAACCTAAGCTATAGTTACTGCTTGTGATACCCAATTAGAGGAATTTACTCATCCACTCCAAATCAGGCCCCTCATTGGAAAAATCAAACAAGTTATCGACATCAAACTCCAAGTTCGAGCTGCTTTCAAATTCTTGAGACGTTTCCTCTTCCCTCAACTCTGTGTCTACCTTCCTTTTACACCCTTTTCTTTTGAGAATGTCACTTTCTTTTTCACTATGTTGGTTCATTTTCTTGCTCAAATGAGAATTCCAATAATTCTTTATCTCGTTATCCGTTCTCCCCGGCAGTCTCCCAGCAATCAAAGACCACCTGAAAATAACCAATCAGGCACTCCCCCCAACCCAGAAAATCAAAACTCCTTTTCAGATTATGAAACAGAAGATAACTGAAACGAGAAAATTGCAGAGCTAATTAGGTAAGAATGTGACCTGTTGCCGAGAAGTTTATGGAGTCTGAGAATCAAATCTTCCTCTTGATCTGATATATTGCCTCTCTTAATGTTAGGTCTGAGATAATTCAGCCATCTTAATCTGCAACTTTTCCCACACCGATTGAGACCTGCAAGATTTCAGAAACCCATTGAGCCAAATTTGCTTTGCAGCTGAAGTTGGAAAACAGAAGTTGAAAAAGGAGTGAAGCAGCACCTGCTTTGGCTGCAATCGTCTTCCACCTTTTCGCTCCATGAATGGCAATAACTTCAGCCAGTTTTTGATCTTCTTCTGCAGTCCAAGCGCCTTTATTGACTCTATTTCTCACATTTTCAGCCTCATTTATGTCTCCTTCAACTTGTTTCACTTTTCTTTTCACAGAGTCTTCTTCAGTCATTGGAACTTTAGGGGGGAGAGAGAGGGGGGATTATGTGTTAGAAGAGTGCTTTATTTCTCTTAAAGATGTGAAACTATAACGGAGACCGGAGGGTGGGAAATAGAGATATATGTGAAGAGGTTGGAATAATTTTTTGGAGGTGGCAGTCTTTCAGGAAAAGGACACTCTGATCATGAGGTCGATGATTGAGTGAGATATAAAGTCTGCTTCTAAATAGTTGCTCACTGTTGGACAACTCAACAGACAACAGCTAGCAAAAGATCCTGTTTAACAAAAATGGATTATTCGTGTTATTATCATTTCCTATGCATCAAAATTCTAATGATATTTTCTAATCTTCTTTTTCTTTTTTTTTTTTTACTTGAGGAAAATTTAATATCCTAAGATCTTTCTGGACAACAAATACAAGGGGATAGGATCAAATGGTTGTTCTTTTAGAATAGGTATTTAAATTTTGAATCTCAAATAGCCTATGTTGTTATATTTTTAGAATCTTATACCATGATCTTCATCACTAAGTTGTGATTTATAAGGTCTTTAGCCACAGAATCAAGTTGTTCTCCTCCGGACGACAAAGCACAAAGCTCAAGATCATATCCAGCAGTTGTTAGAGTTGATGTCGTCGAACATTTGGTACCACTCCCATGGCCCCCACCGAAACAATGTATTATCCCATCAATCTTGTTGAATTATTTTGAACAAATGGAAGTCAGGAAGTCTCATGAAAATCAGAAACAAGAGGGAAAGAAAGGCGTTTTAGAGGGAGAAATGCCTCGAATTTGGAGAAGAATCCACAATAATAGAAGAAGGGGAGCACATGAATTTTAGAGAGAGAGAGAGAGAGAGAGAAATGAATGGCTATACATGGAGGACAAAGTGAAAAATAAGGAAGCAGAGAACAGAAAAGTGTTTTGTGTTGAAAGAATATAACTTTTTCAGAGCCATAGAAAGGAGAGAAGATCAAAACTCCTTTTTATTTTTTATGATCAGAATTGCATGAATTTACAATTTGATTGGTTTCAAGTTTTCTTATTCCTAATTTCTCTGTCCAAAGCTGAGCTAACACTACTGTGCATTTTTTATTTTTTATTTCTTTAATTTCTTATTATCAGAAAACCACCTGTGCTTCTTTATCACAATACCAAACAACAGGAAAATGTTGAACAAAAAAGCAAAATTAGGTTTAAAGTAAGATTTACTTTAGATTGGGGTTATGTGAGAATTAAATCATATCCATTTCCCATGCATAGCTTTCACGTAGTTTCAATTTTATAAACTCTAAATTTGTTTAATGTGATTGCATTTTTTTTATTTTTTTTTGGTTTAATCATATTGTTAAGGGAAGATCTTTAGGGTATAGAGAAGATTAGCTGTGTATTAAAAGGTAATTAAGCAATGTCTAGACCATTTGAGTTAGTTTCATGTTGATATTTTGATGTTAACCATACATTTTTACGATGATAATCGGAGGGAAATATTTAAGATTAAAATAAGAAAGCAAAACCAAAAAGTGTCCTGAATCCTTCCAACTTTTGGCTTAATTTGATATTCCCTTAAAAGCTGAAACAGGAATTAGATTTCTTCTGTTTGTCTCTTTACATTAATGCACACCTTCTTCATTGATCCACCTCAATCTTGTTATTATTATTATTATTACAGTTTTTTTTTTTTTTAATTGTCATACTTTTTTCTTAAATTTAGTGCCATTTATTATTATTATTTTAAGATTTAAAGTCAATTAACCAACCCCATTTCTCGACACTTCAAATACATCCAATCCCTATAATACAAATATTATATTGGATATTGCAACCATATTAGAAGAATGAAGTATTATACATACTAATTGGTGTTTTGAAAATATGATTCTAAAGTCCACCTCGAGAATCAAAAGGCCCAAATCTTCAACCGTAGGCCCGTCTAGTTGAAACACGAACAATTGGGCCGTTGCTTTCAAGCCCATTGGGCTGTATTTGTTCCAACATGGGCCCTTTTGTCTGGTGCTTGGATTTCTTGCCGTAGCCCCCAGCTAGCTCGGTTTTCACAATTTTGATCATTAAATAGTTTTTTCAAATTTATAAACATGATTTTTTTTAAAAAAAAAAACTTGACTTTCCTTTTTTTTTCCCCAATGATTTATTAATTGGATGAATCATGGTGGTCAGGTGGGGACGCGAGTAACATTCACTTAACACCCTCGCGAGTGAAGTCGGTGGTTTTCAAACTTGGAGTCGGCAAAACGAAACGGTAGCCGGTTGCCGGTAATGTATTGGCATTATCCTAAGAAAATTGAATTTTGTTTTTCCGCTTAAAAGAAAGTAAAAAAGTAAAAAGAAAACTGTGGCTGGTTGTGAATTTACAGAACTGAAGGAGCTTACCACTTTCAAACAAATCACGACCGTTGAATCATTTGGCAATGTTGATCTGATCAGTGACGAGAGCTGTCGCTCGTACCCACCAAAAGTAAATATCGTACGCTCAAGATCTATCCATCATGTGAACTTGATTTTAAGTTTTGTCCTCTCTGCATTCTTCTTTTCTTTTAATAAAAAATCCAAAATTGAAAATAATTATGTCCTGTTAGTAAATTTGTAAAAAATAAAATAATTACGTTAAATTATGTTTATCCATTTTAAAAACTATTTAACAAGCTTAACCAGCTTTTAAGCTTTAAAATTAAGGATTTAATGTATATAATAATATATATAAACACACTGCTTATAAAAGGTTTCATTAAATTAGACAACTCAGTCTCGCCCATTCTAAACATCTACATTGTTACAAGTAAGGTATTCTATCATTTTTATAGACCTTTTGGTATCGTAACACGTGAGTTTTACATGAGACTAACTCCAAACGAGATGTTTAAAAAGGATCGAGCTAAGGAAGAATAATCGAGTAAAGATAAACCAAGCAAATGAAAGTATGTATCATCGACTCAACTATATACCATAGGAAAGAAAGACGTTGGACGCAACTCTAGTTCAGCTCGCCATCACTAGGGTTTGAAGAATTTAAGGAGGGACTAAAAGATAGGAACTTGTTGGTAACAAGTGTTGGAAACAACCTCTTAATTATAGGAAAATAAAGGGGTAAAACAGCAAAAAAGTGATTTAGTAGGGTAAGGAATGAAAATGGAAGAGAAAGGGCACGAATTCCAATGGTGTTTAGCTAATTTCATTACAGAACAGAGGAACAGAGGAACAGAGAACAGAGGAACAGAGAAACAGAGGTCTGAGAATATGAAGACGAGGAGACAAACAACCCTTTGGATTTTTATACCCTTTTTTTCTCTCTCACAATATTTACTTTTCTCTTCCAAAAAAATTCCACCTTCTTTAAAAAAAATAAAAAACAAAACAAAACTTTGATCCCTTAAATACCACTCTCCCTTCCCCTTACATCTCAAAAAACTTCGTCAACTTCATCTCTATCTATCTCCCTTCATTTCCACCATTCCCACCCTCTCCAAACGAACCATAAAAGGAAAAAAGAAACTAAAATTAAACCCATCATCTCTGGATAAGAACAATAATGAGTAATTGGTTGGGTTTCTCTCTCACTCCCCACCTCAAAATCCATGACGCCACCTCCGCCGACGACCAACACCCAAACCCCAGCAGCTTCCCGCCTCTCATGCCGCTCCGCTCCGACGGATCCCTCTGTATCGCCGCCGCACACGGTATGTTCTTGTTCATTAAAAATAACAGAGGAGGTGTTCGAAAAGAAAAGCTCTGTTTAATTTTGTTCATCTTTTTTGGGGGTGTGGGGGTTTATAGATTGGAGATCGTACGAGAATGAAATGGGTGCAAGGAATGAAGAGGAAAGTCCAAAGCTTGAGGATTTTTTGGGGAATTGTTATTCAAACTCACCGCCAAACGATCAGGCTCATGATAACAACAACAACTTCATCCAGGCGAATACCAATAATAATTACCATTATCACCCGGATCATCACTCTTTAATTTCTAATAATAGTAACGCAATTTACAAGTCGTGGTTAGGTCCTACGACTTCGAGTCCCCAAAACGAGTGTGGGTTTCGATCTTTATCTCTTGGGATGAGCCCCAACTCCCATAACGACACCGTTTCATTGCCATCGCCGCCGCACATGGCGGTGGATTCCCGGAAACGACCGATGCCGGTGGGGAAGCCTCCGGTTAAAGAACCTGTTCCTAGGAAGTCCATTGATACTTTTGGACAAAGAACCTCCCAGTTTCGTGGTGTTACGAGGTACCCTTGTTCTTGTGTTCTTAAATGAACCATTTTTTTTGGGTTGATTTTGATTTTTTGTTGGGATTTTTGTGCAGACATAGATGGACAGGGAGATATGAAGCTCATTTATGGGACAACAGCTGCAGAAAAGAGGGCCAAACAAGGAAGGGAAGGCAAGGTAACAAAATTAAATAACATCCCATACGATAGCATTTTAAGCCACAATTTTGGAGCAATAAACTAACGATTATTTTGATGTTTTTTTGTGCAAAAATTGTTGGTCGGGGATGTCTGGTTTGGTGGCATCAATCAAATATCCGATTATGCAGTTTATCTCGGTGGGTGAAGAACTATTTTTCTTTATTATTTATTTAATCTCATGGACCTATATTTTCTCTTTTTAATTATTATGTTCTTATTTATTCCATCCATATCATTATAGAGTATTATTATTTATGTCATTTCAATTATTTCACTTTATTATTTTGACTATGGAATTAATGCATCATCAAATTTGGTTGTATTATTTAGATTGAAGATTCATTGTATATCTGGTTCTATTAATCAGGTGGTTACGATAAGGAGGAAAAAGCAGCACGAGCGTATGATTTAGCTGCACTTAAGTATTGGGGTCCAACCACACACATAAATTTTTCAGTAAGTCTGTTACGTTCTTTTTGGTCTGATATTTGACGATTCAACGCTCTTTTACGTAACGGTATGATTTATTCAGTTGAGCACTTACGAAAACGAGTTGGAAGAGATGAAGAACATGACCCGACAGGAGTTCGTAGCCAACTTGAGAAGGTAATATTTCGTTTGGTCCGATAATGTTCATGTTCATGTTCATGTTCATGTTCATGTTCATGTTTGAAGTCGAGGCATCTTTGTTGGATCGGGATGCGATTTGTGTGACGAACAAGGTTCGTTGTGTGTGTGTGTGTGTGTGTGTGTGAACAGGAAAAGCAGTGGATTCTCAAGAGGTGCTTCAATGTACAGAGGAGTAACAAGGTATGGCGCAAACCCAAAAGTTGAACTTTAATAATGGAGTTTGTGTTGTTTTTTTGTGCACGTTGTCCCAGCTGCAGTCCTTTTCAATTATCATTGGCAACACCATAAATATATTCTATATTTTTCTTAAATACTAATATTAATATCAATTCATTTGTTGGGTTGGTTGCTTACTAGTAGTGTAATTAATGCTTGAAATTCACTTTTTTCATGTTCTTTCCTATTGTCTTTTAAGGTTGTTTGGTTCTTTTACTGTTTGTTTTTGGTCAGACATCATCAACATGGAAGGTGGCAAGCTAGAATTGGAAGGGTTGCAGGAAATAAGGATTTGTACCTTGGCACATTTAGTAAGTAATTAATCATTATATTATCAAATTATATGTGTTATGATTTTATATATCAATATATAGGAGATCATGTCTTATGTTTTTTTTTTTTTTTTTTTTTTAATCTTTCTAAGGTACACAAGAGGAGGCGGCGGAGGCCTATGACATAGCAGCCATCAAGTTCAGAGGGACGAGTGCGGTGACTAATTTCGACATTAGTAGGTATGATGTGAAGAGGATTTGTTCTAGTTCGACTCTCATTGCAAGTGACCTTGCGAAACGTTCGCCGTTGAAAGATGGAATTCCATCGACGGCTGAGGAGTATAGTGCATGTGCTTCACCAACGTCGTCGCAGCCTCTCTTGGGCATCACTGAGAATGGCGACGTCGAGAGCCAGCATGAGTTGGTTGAAATGGTTTGGTGCGACAATGGTGGTAAAGATGACGATAATCAACAAGAGGAGAATGTGGCGAAGATGAACGACGACGTGAGTTTGATGGGTTCAAGGAATGAGACAGAGGCATCGAAGTGTTGTATGGTGCAGAACAATGGAGAGTTTGGGGTCGGGGGAGGCGAGTATTCACAAGGATATTACTCAATGGAGGAAGGAAAATATGAAGATGGGAGGGATGAAAATAGGGAGGAGGAGAATGATGTAGCATTGGCTCATCATCAGGTTCCAATGTTCGCTCTATGGAATGAATGAGCTTAGCAGCTTATTAGCTTAGAGCAATTAGAAATAAGTCTATTTTCTTTAATTAGGACTTTCTAATTTGTAGGTTGGAAAGGTAATGAAGCTGATAGATGGTCGGAATAGGGGTTAGTTTTAATACAATCAGTTTAAGCTTTGGAAATGTTGGATTTTGATTCTTTTTCCCCTTCCAACATTTCAGGCAATGCCAAATATAATTTAAGGAAGCGGTTATTTTTTTATTTTTTATTTTTTATTTTTTATTTTTTATTTTTTGTTCTCTCTAATGTTTTTTTAAGGTATAAGTTAAAAATCCCAACGATAAAAGTTGGAAGGAAATTATTATTGTTTATATATTATTATTCAAAGTTGAAGGATGGAAGGAGTGGGTAGGGGTAGGGGTAGGGGTACGGGTAGGGGTAGGGCAGGGAAGGGCAGGAAGGGCAGGGGTTAGGGTACCCAGTTTGACTATTGGAAGAGGGAGGGGCAAATGCGTTTCAGCACTGGTGATAAGGAGGTGCCTTAAATTGCGTGCCCTCTGCCTTGTTTTGTTTATTTATTTATTTATTTAGGATTTTCCTTCACGCGCCTTCATGGAGCGCACAAAGCAACACAATATTCTCGACTCTCACACACTTGAACACAGCCAAGCGTGTGAACTGAAAGCAAAGCAATGCAGAGGAGGGTGCATGCGTTGGCAAGCCATGCTCTTTCTCTGCCTCCCGGAGAATAGATACGTACGAAGCAGTGGCAGGGTTGGGAAATTTGAAGATAGAGTCGGGGCAAAATGGGAACAAACCACAAGAAAAGAAAGAAAAAAGGAATTTCCGTTTGTACCCTCGAAACCCTAAGCCCAAAAACAAAACCCACCTCTCCTTCTTCTCTGGGTTTCCTCTTGTCCTATGTAGGGAGGAAACAGAAAATGAAAAAAGAGAGGAGTGGCATTTTGGTAATTTGGAGGAGAGAGAAGGGATGTTGGGATTGGAGAGACAGATCCAAATGAAGGGAGAGGGATGGGCCTCTCTCCTTCCCTTCCCCCTTACCCCTTACTTTCCGTTGTTTTTACTTTCTTCTTTCTTTTACTTCCCTTCAATGCCACCCTCACCCAAATAAAGACCCTATTTATTTATTTATTATTAAATTTAACCTTTAAATCTTTGTTGGGCCTCTGAGTTTGTCGTAGCACGAGGCCCACTTAACGCTTCGACGTTGGGCCGTTTTCTCCAACAGCCCATTTTAAAATTTCATTCCTCATTATCTTCAAATAATATAACCACCACCCATTTAGACGTCTCCTAACTTCACTTAACTATTAAATATACAATCAGGAGGTAAATAGTGTGGGATTAAAAAAGAAAAAAGAAAAGTTTGGCAATAAAATGTAAACTGGATATATAATGAATATGGAACAGAGAGTTTGGTTGGGAAGGGAGGTGTTGGTAACAGTTGAGAAGGGGATATAATAATAGCAACAGTTAAGAAGGGGATATAATTAGGGTATGGGTTTGAAACAGATATTTGATGTTGTCTCTCCTAAAAACAGGTTGGAAAGAGATTCTTAGGAACCCTAATCGAATCACTCCATCAATCATATGAATGAATGAATGAATGAATGAATGAATGAATGAATGAATGAATGAATGAATCGGCCCCACCCTAAAATAGGTTCGGCTGTTGAAGTCCGCGTAAGCTCTCTCTTCCCCGCCTTCAACCCCATCTTATTTTGCCTCCTTTTTTCTCTCTCCCTTCTCCTCACAAGGTGAGAGAGAGAGAGAGAGATCGGACGAAGAACGAAATAAACACACCACTGTGACTCTGTCAATCCCACATTGGACTTCATCACCTCGTTTTCCTTCTCTCTCTCCGCTCTCAACCACCAATTCCTCCTTCTTATGCTCTCCTTTTCCCCCCTTTCTTCAATCCCCCACCCCTTCAGGAACCCCCAGATTCCAGGCCTTCCCAATGGCCATCTGCAGATGATTTTCTCCCTTCTTTAATCCTTCCGTCTGCAGATTTTGCTTTGGGGGATCCATTTCATGTTCTTATGGATGCCGATTTTGGGGTACGTACATCCTGATTTCAATCGGTGTTCTGATTTTCTCTCAAACCCTAGTGGCCCTCCAATCTGCCTGCCAATCTTGGTGGGTGTTGACGATTTTTGGGTTTCCAGGCTTCCAACGCGAATTCTAGCGCTTGGAAACCAAACCCTTTTGCCGAATCACGGAGAAGTTTGGGCGTTGTTTTCAATTTGAGGAGTTTCGGGTAAAGCCCCAGATGCGAGGGAGGTCTGGAAATTTGAATTTGAATCCTGCTTTTCTTTGATTCATTGCTGTTCAATGCAATGGAGCGGCCATTGTCTACGTTCATCTTCGTGATTTCGGGGTTTGCTTTCAGTATTTTATCGCTTCTTGTTGAGTCTCAGGCTCGAGATGGAGCCATTTCCTCTTCCTCGCCGCCTCCGCCTCCTCCATCTCCACCACCTCCTTCTCCGCCACCGCCACCACCACCTCTATCACCACCGCAGTCACCACCGCTATCACCACCGCAATCACCACCGCAGTCACCACCGCTATCTCCACCGCCCCCGTCCCCAAACTTCGTCCCTCCACCCCCAATCTTCGTCCCGCCTCCACCGCCTGCATCTCCATCTTCACCTCCGCCAATATTTCCCCCACCGCCTTCTCCGCCGAGTCTCCAGCATCGTTCTACTCCGCTGCCGCCGCCTATTCCTGCATCCTCCGACGCGAATAAAAAACCACCCGAAGTGAGTCGGAATAACAACTCCCACAATATTGAAGGGTCGAAGAGAAGTCTCAATATGGGGAAGAAAGTAGGACTATTCTTTGTTGGTATTGCGGCAGTACTTCAAATCTGCGTGGTGGGATTTTTGGTATTCAAGAGACGGCAGCTCCTAAGATTCAAGGACCAGTACGATGGTTTTTCTTGAATCAATTGGCATCCGTTTCCTTTGTCTTACATCAGAGCCAAGGACTTTAGGAGTATGGTTGAGGATATCACGGCCATCGAGCTAACTGAATTGAATCACTGCTAAAAAAAAAAAAAAGGCAACAATTAGGTAAATTTTCTTGACTTTGGGGTTGGGAAGATGCACAAAACATGTTCTTGAGATGCTGCAGAAAAGAAAAATGAAACAGAGGAGGCAGCAGGCGGATAATGAGGGGCAAGCATCTTCTCTTAGGGTCTCCTCAGGTGTTGTGTAAAAATGGGTACATGATATGATGATTGGTTGAGTTTTTCTTCTTGTGATTTTTGAATTCTTGTTCATTCTTTTGTCCAATGCTGATTATACAGTTTGTTAATTCAGAAGAAACCGCTTGATATACATACCTGTTGTTGAATTCTTTTTCTGCTAACCACTGTTCCTTATGGCTGTAAAAGATTGTGTTTGTTTAATATCACAAACTAATTATACACTCACCCTCTACTTTCATCTTGCTTGAGCGTGTAATGTTGATTGTAGTGTAACAGTTTTGTTTATCACTGATACTGCTGATTTTGGTGAAAAGGGTGTTTACGAATCTATTTCGAGATGCAATTCCTGACTATCTAGTGATTGATTATCTATAAGCTCTACGGGTTTAGAATCAGCGAACTGCCTTAGATCAGCGAACAGTAGTTGGGTTCATTCTAGACCTATGTTAACGCATCAGGGAGACCATTGAATCCTTTTCTAAATATGCTTCTATGCAAAAGCTCTCTATAGGATAGGACAGAATTATTCTCTCTAAAGTCTTTGATGAGATCACCCTAAGAAAGAATTGATTTCGTTGCACCTTATTCTAGTATGGTTCTAGTCTTGAGCTCGAGTTAGGGAGACCCTCATTTTTTCGGTTTCAATATTCAAGGAGCGTTGGAGATAGCTTGTGTGCATCTTCATGTTTCGACATTCAAGAGATTGGATGAAGAGTTGAAGAGGAGGTGGTTAGGTTTAATGTTTTCTTGTGGGTGTGGCTTGCCAGGCCTTTTTGTAGTTATGCCTTGGTCTTGGTCTTGTTCTTTATTATTGGAGTCGTTTCGTGTAGTTCTTTTTTTGTCCCCGTGGAGCACTTACTGTGTTAAGATAGAGGCGTTTGAAAATGGTTAGCTATAAGTGTTTTAACATCAAGGTCAAATTGAAGATTGCTAAGGTCTGAATGCCTCATCTCTTGACATTATTTTAGCCAAGTCCCTCTTCTATGATTATTCTGCACAAATTTAACCCGTTAACTTGAGATATGATTCTGAGCAGGGAAGCTCATTTCTGGTCAGTTTCTTCAGGTCTGTTTGCTTTGGCCTTCAAAAATCTTATCAACTCAACGTCTTAACTAAATAGTTCAAAAGCTTATTGAAATGTCATCATTTTTTGCACTTTTTTTGTTTTGCATCTTCGAACGTCAAAAGTTCATGAGATCTGAGGTATACAAATGGTTACTTGATGTGTTTGAATTCTAACTCTTGTTGAACAACAAAAAGACAATAAAGAGGATGCATGCTCATCGTTCCTGCACCAATGACATTATGACAAATAGTTTTGACTTTTTCCAAGGAATATGTGGTTGTTTGTGAGTTGTATTGAACAACACTTTCCTATATCTCTTTTCTCATCTATTTTAAAGAGATTCGTGGGGGATGACTTGTAAAGTTCAATGTCACTGTGCACTTGTGACAAGCTTATGGTTACAATAGAATCAAGAACACTGATTCTAAACAATCAGTTCATCATACCCACTGAAAAAAGGAGAAAAAGAAAATAACTCATTTTTTTCTTCTGCATATATCGTTTGTCCTGACCTGCTTAGAAACATGGATTCCTTTTTCGATTTTAACAACGCTTCGATTGGAGAGATTTGAGGTTTTGAATTCTTAGTCGATAATGTCTTAGAAATCACAAACAACATAGCTCAACTATTGAAGTTAATGGAATATTATAATCTACATTAGAAATCATGAGATGGGTGAAAACCGATATGATAGCAAAATAAAAGTATTCTAGAATTGAAGATTTGTCTGGCCAGCCTTAAAATAGAAAAATTTTGGAGTGTAGGAGCTGCAAATCTCTAATTAAAGAGAGAGAAGAGATAAGGAGGGGTGTTTTGGAGGTTGGACAGAGCTGAAAAATGCAGAAGGAACTGTCAATCCTTCTGCAATCAACAGTGAAGCTGCAAGATCCTTTTCCATGCACCTTCTCCCTCCTAAACGCATCCTCATTCGACTCTCATCTCTTTTGGGCAACTCCCAATCATTTTTTTTATTTTTCAAACTCTATACTCTCCCCCTTGTTTCATGAAAGATGCGGTTGAAATTTACCCATCCAAGCTGAGATTGTGAGGAACTGAATCTGTGAAATTGATTGATACCCTGGAACAGAAAAGAAAACCACCAGCGTCAATAGTCTTACCTTTGGCTGCAGGTGAAGCTTGGATGGATTCATTCAAGTAATGTCCAATCCAAACATGTACTGTGTGTTGCCTTTCTCTGTCCCTTTGACGACTCTTACTCTGTTTTACCTCAGATATCAGTGAATCTTGAACTAATTTTTGCTCTTTAAAATGGGCTTTGAAGTCCTGGCCATAGTGTTGTTTGATTCTATCATTGGAAAACAATGGCTAATCTTTATGTTTTGATGTGGGTTCAGGACCTGCTTAAAGCCTTTTTTGGACTTTTGTTATAGAACAACACTTTTAATGATTCAGAAACGTTGAGATTGAAATCATTAGTTATACCAACCAAAAGCATGTCATGCTCAGCTGAGAGTTAAATATCAAGTTTTTGCTTAACTGAGTACGACAGGCTGTTATTCAGAGTACTCTATAAACAGCCTATTAGTCAAGACACGGAAAGCAAATCTTCTGTTTGTTTAGGGAGAAAATTGTCATAGTGCTTCCATTCAAACAAGCAAGTTCGCATACTTCGAAACATGTTTCTTACAGAAAGAGACAGCAAGTGGAAAAAAGAAATATCAAAGAAAAGCAAAGGACAGAAAATCTCTCTTAAGAATCCTGCAGTTTTACATTCAAAACTTTAGCAAAAGAAAAGCTTCCCTGACCGCAAACTAAGAAGAAAAGCAGGCACTTCACTCACTAACAAGTACTCTTTTGGCCATAACCCAAAAACTCCTTATTTGGCACTTTAACCATCTGCACAGAGAGACAGAGAAAGAGAAGAGAGAGAGAGAGAGGGAGGGAGGTGAAGTGAGAAGGATACTATCAGATTACGGCACAAGAAGCAAGCAGAGCAACAAAAGTACTCATAACCCAATAAAATTTCCACTTTGTATACTTGAATTTGTGGCTAAATCAAGCCAGGAATCTGAGTTTTTTGGTGGGCAATCCTCAAAGAAGTGGAGTAGTGGCTTCTGGGTTTCTGCATCATCTTCTTCCTCTGTTTTAGCTGATCTTGACGATTTATTAAAATCTGTGCCCAAAACGAAGCAGTGTTGCTCTTGTTGTTGCCTCGCCTGTTTCGCACTGTAAATTTGGTAGCTGTTGGAAACAGCATGGGAGAATCCTTTGTAAGAATCCATCCCTATTGGCTGACTATAAACCTCACCTATGCTTCTTGCAGAGTCTGCAACTGAGGGAAAGAACGCCTGCACGCCCGCACCCTCTCTTGGACCATTAATATCCCTACTCAACACACGACCCAATAAACTTTAAGCATGTGTTATATTAATTAATACTTTATATCAAACATATGTTATAATATTAATCATCAAAGTCCATGAAAAGAAAAATAACCCAGCAAGGAAAACAGTTTCGAACACCGAACCTGTAGTCTTTGTCAGCTTGAGGATGAGTCCCTGAGTACAAAAAGAGTTGAGGGTTTGTACTGGTTGGAGAGAAATCAGAACATGGAGGTCTGGAGGATGATGATTGAGGATACAAATATGGATGAATGGAGGATTCCTGATAAGCAGCAGCAGGAGCAGGAGCAGGAGCTTGTTGATAAGACTGAGTTTCACATGTCAGAGAAGAAGAAGAGGAAAGTGTAGCGAGAGAATAGGAAGAGGAGGTTGGGGAGGAAGCAGAGAGGCTCCTGGTTGAAGTGAGGATTAAAGGCGGTGGCGTTTGAGCTGGTGGCGTTGAAGAGATTTCCACAGGCTTTCTTGAACGGTTTCTGCCTCTGTGCATGTGCCTCTCGCAGTATTTGGAGTCTGGATAAGCTTCTTTTGAGCATCTCCATTTTTTCCCATCTGTTCTTCTGCACCTTCCTGGTTCAGGATCTGCTTTTCTGCCAAAACCCATCTCAAAGCATCCCCACCCAACTGCAAATAAAATAAAATAAAAAACATCAGAGTTAGTAACCCGCTTACATCTGAAGAGATAAAAGTGGGACGAAATGGCGGCTACTTACTGGGTTGGTGAGGGAAGAGTCTTGCAGAAATGGAGGAATCCAAGCTTCTTTTCACAGAGAAGATTAGATCAGGAGGGATAGGTACTCCTGAAACCATGTATTTGAATATGAGAGCTTGGTGTTCTAGTTCTTGCCATTGAGTTGGTGTGAAAGGAGAGATGCAGGGCTTTGGACCTGAATTCATTATTCTTGAAAGTAGAATCAAAAAAAGAAAGGAAAAATGAGAGAGAAACGAAGAAAAATGTTTAAAAAGGAGCAAGGTTGAAAGTGTTGAAAGGCCGAGAGGAGGAGGGTATGTTGTTGGGGGCAGCAAGTTTTTGAATGGGTATTTCTGCAAAATCCATAGGTCGCAAAAGCTTGTTCCTGTCAAATGATGCCTTACTGATACCCTATATCTCTCTTTCTCTTTCTCGTTCTCTCTCTCTCAGTTGCAGTCTGCAGTTTATATGACTACTCCTCTGTTGGGTTCTGCCTCTGCCTTCATTGCTTCTTTTGTCTCTGATTTGGTTGCAGAAATTGATATACAAATGGATATAAGAAAGAGAAAAGGAAACAAAATATCATAGACACACCCTTCATTTTGCTCTCTACACATCACATTCCTTGAAAACAGTGCCATCAGATTTTGCAAAACTTCTGAACACAATGAGGTGTGATGTACCTCCACAAACTCCTTTTTCAATACAAACAAAATCATCTGCAGTTGTCATCCTCCTATTGAACGCCCGGGAGGCTGAAGGATCTACCCAAACCCCCTCCCCCTACCCCTTTATGACACTAACTTCCCCTATTTTTGCCTTTCCTTTTCCCCCTAAGATTCTTTATACCTAAAAAATGACTGAAAGTTTACCCTTCCCTCTTGTGGAGTCATAATAAATCCCTCTCTATTCAACGGGTTAATGCAAGTTGAAGACTTTCATGATGGACAGGGCACTACACTTCATTAATGACCTAACACATACGGTTTTATTTTTCAAGAAAGAAAGACACAATGTGTTTGTAAGTCTTTTTGTTACTGGAAAGGAGAGAAATGGGTGAAAAAGCAGGGGATGATGGACAGTAAAGTTATGTGAAGATATTAAAAAAGAAACCAAGTAAGATAGTATTGGTGAGTGGGAGGTTCCAATTTGTTTGCTTCCAATTCAAAGCTCTTTGGTTCTCTCTTTAAGACAGTGTGTGTGTGTGTGTGTGTTTTGTCAGGGATGATGTGCATTGTGAGGTGCTAAAACTGTTCACCCCATCTGAGGTCTCTGCACCAAGACACATGCCCTTCTCTCTCTCTCTCTCTCTCGCTGCTCTCGTTGTCCTTGTTGTTCTTTATTTTGCTTCCCAACCAACTCAACTTTCCACTCATTAACCCCCACAATTTCCTCATTTACAGTTTTGCTTTGGTCCTCACGCTTCTTTCCGTATCAGTCACTCTCATACATCCTTTTGAACTCCATTTTCTCCTGCAGACTCAGGCTCAACCCCTAGCCCCAAGATGCTTCAGAACTGACTCAGTGACCTGACCGACTCCCTTTTCTGTTCTTTTCTTTTCTTTTCTTTTCTTACTCTCAAGTGGGGTTTGGTTTGGTTTGGCTTGGCTTGGCTTCATAAAGAGATTAAAGTTTGCTTGTTTTAGAAGTTGTCTCTCTTTTCCTTTTGCTGCAATCTTTGCAAATCAGATACACTTTGCTTCTTTTTCAATTATGAATAATGTAGCTCTCTATCTTACTTTCTACCCCCAAAGACATTTGCTTCCCACAACATGTTAGTCCGTATTGGTTTGATGAAATGATAAAGATTTTAGATATATGGGTGAAAACGAAAGCAAAAAAAGCTCATAAAAGAAGCAGCAACCTTTATGGCAACAAGTTGAATTAGGAGAGAAAAAGAATGTATAAATGAATCAATGTTGTTGACAGCATGCATGTCCAATGTCCTTCAAAATCTGCAGCTTTGATTTGTGCCCCAAATGCCTGCAATTTCCAACCTCCATTCACTGCTTTTGAATGATTTTAAAAAGCAAACCCAACACAATGGGAAAGAGACAGATAAAGCTGATGCAAATCTGTTTTTATCTAAACCTCTGCAAGAGATGTTGAGGTGGGTCGTCCAAATTTTAAATCCTTGTTCAAATTTTGGACATGTGACATTAGATGATTTCTTAATATTGTATCTTTGAGAACCTTTTCAATATGGTCCAGATTGGTATCACAGACAAATTCATCAGAATCTTCAAATCTTGTGATGTCTCTCTGTGATACAAGATTGGTCCACTGCATCCCTTCCTATCTCTACTACGTATTCCACATCTCACAATCCCCACCTTCATCACTTCCTCATAAATCTCAGCCATACGGTATGCCATGGTTGATTCCCACTTTGTATGCCTGACCATACCCAATCTATTTATCTCTTTATCTCTTCAACCAAAAAGTCGAAGTATAAATATATAAATGGACATTGTTGAAGCATTTGGGCAGGTCTCTAACTTGTAAAAAGAATTGCCATTTGGAGTTCCCACCGGAGCGAACAAAACAAGGCTTTTTTGGGTTTGTGCTTTTTGGACGTCCAAAATTGCATTTTGGTGTCATTGCCAATCCAAATGCTGCATGGCGACAAGTTGCAGAGCCTGAAGTCGAGCTCCACCCCTGCTGTTTTGAGTATTGAAATGGCGAAAGAACGGATGAGATGTAGAAGAAATGAGATATGGGAAAATGAGAAATGAGAGGGAAAGAAGGAGAAGATATTGGGGTAGAGCCTGAAAGGGAGTTCTGACATCATACTTGAGATGGGTTCCTAGTCAGTTTGGGAATTGACTTGCAATCGGGACGTCGCACCAGTGCACGCTCGACCACGTACACTTTAAAACTTAAGTTAGTACTTGGTTCAAATAGGTGTTGAGTTGAGTTGCTGATCTTTGGGGGAGTGAATGAGAGGCATTGGCCATTGTTTCGTTTCTTGCATCTGCAGTGGTGGTGCTTTCGACATTAAGATCCTTTGAAACCAGATGGGGCTCTGGGTTTGTTCTTCCGTTGGTTCTTTTGGGGCTTGTAGTTGCCATTAAAATATCTTCCTCTTGCCTATCCATGTCTGCGTTGCAGAATCCTTCATGGGTTCTTAGAATTGGCAGCCCTCTCCGGGACCTGCTATATTGGCAAGGATTGGAAAACATGCGTTAGTGAAATGAACTGGTTATAATTACTTACCTTTAAAAAGGAAACTTCAATTAATAAAACATAACCAAGGCTAGAAATTAGGACAGAGAGTAGCAAGCTAGAGTATATGTATATATTAACAGTTTGAAACCCGTTTACATTGAATCTTAAATAGCAGACATGTACAAATATTTATATTTATCTACAAGAGAATCTGATCCATAATAAAAGCATGATATTTATAGTGCAAGCATAGAAAAAGGGCAATGAAGCCACTGTTAGCTCATCCAACCGGCAGGCTGTGGAGTTGCTACGGTGAAGCCTCTCGCATACATTCGCTGGATTTCTTCCCGGTACTCAACCAACGACGTATCAGGTATTGGTGGGGTCAATTCCACCACGTCGCCCATCTTCAGCTTGCACTTGGGGTCGCTCACAGGCTCATGGTTCAGTCTAGGTCTCAACTCTTCCTTTACTGGGAACCTATAGTGAGCCCATCTTGTGCTTCCTCTCCCAGCTCTTTCTAAGAGATCTATCATCGTTGCATTCGCTGGGAATTCCTGGACCGACATCTGGATATAACAAAAACAAAGCCTTTTCCAATTGTTAAAAGCTGCACTCCCGCACCAGAGATAGATAACAAACTTAACAGAAACAAGTAGGGCAATAAGCATGGACCTTTTCGTTTTCAATCATAATGACAAACAAAGGCCCATCCTGGAAGCAGTGAGGTTTGTAAGAGTAGGAGCAGTCAGAAGAGTGAAAAGGGAACTTGCAGGATGATTTGACAGAATTGATTGAAGATCGATCTTTGGTCATAGTTTCACAATGCCAAGTGAGAACCCATCTAGCCCATTCCACCATCTGAAGCACAAATGAAGAGTGCTTAGAATCACCCTCCTTGTACCTCCAATGAGCAGCAAACCCAAACTCAGCTTGCAAATGCATCTCCTTGGTTCGAATTTGAACCTCAAGTGGGACGTCACCTTCACCCCTTACTACTGTGTGTATAGATTGATACCTGTTTACCATCAAATGATATATGAGGAGAAATATAGAGTATGAAGCACCTGATACTGCTTTTACAGAAATACCCGTTCAGCTTTGGTTTACTTATGTAGTCCTTGAGCTTTCCCTGTACTTCCGGCCATAACTGATGAACGATTTTCAATGCTTCATAGCAATCCTCTTCATTTTCAACAATGAGTCTCAATCCATGAATATCATGGATTTCATTCATGGTCAAATTCTTCCTACAAAACAAATTCAAATTTACCTAAATTCACTATTCTGAACAAGACAGCCAGAAAATAATACACTGCTGAAATGAAGAGAATAAGAGAGAAATGGAAGGCCAAATGCATACTTCAACATTTTTCGGTGTAAGCTGTAGACACTTTTGTGCCGTCCAGTTACAGCATGGTAAGAGGTTCCCTTATCCTTGAGAGCTCGCTCTATTTTTTCAATTGCAGAATGTATAATTTCTTCATCATACAATCCCATCAGTTTGGAGGACAAATCATTGTGCTGTTCCAAGTTTAAATGCTTAAAACAGAGGTTTTCTAGCTGCTCCTTCCAACTGTAGATTCCGAGGCGATTAGCTAAAGGAACGAAGATCTCCATAGTCTCCTTTGCAAACCTATGCTGCTTGATCAGAGGCAATGCATCTAAAGTTATCATATTGTGCAGACGGTCTGCTAATTTAATGAGGACAGCCCTTGCATCAGCCATAGCAAGGAACATGGTGTGCAAGCGGTCTGCCTCAACCATTCGATCAGCCATATCATGTTCTCTAGCAAGCTTGCTTAAATGACTTAGCTTAGACACCTAAAACAAAATTTAGGAAAAATAACACAAAGAGCGAGAGATTAGGAACTCATTCCTCGTCATTCAATAAAAGACTTGTAGCATGAGCGAGAGATTTGCAATTTTCTTCCTCACAAGAAAATAGAATAAGCCTTGTCGTTATGCATTAGGTTCACAATATTCCAATGACAAAGAAAGTGTGTGCGGCATAGTATCTTACCCCTTCAACTAAATCAGCAACCTCAGCTTCAAATGTCCCCAATATGTAGTCATGACTCACAAAAGAATCATCAAGTGTGTCGTGCAAAAGCCCTGCAGCAACTACTGTGGAATTAGCACCAACAAGTGCAAGCATCACTGCTGTTTCCACACAATGTTCCAGGTACCGATCACCACTTAAACGCGTCTAAGGAAAAATGAAAAACACCAAAAAGGGGTATTTCTTAATGAATAGCATCAGTACTCAAGGCAATAACAACACTGTCGATATTGAAAGGCAGCAGCATTACCTGTCCTCTATGTGCTTTCTCGGCCTCAAAAAAAGCCTTAATCACAAACTCATCACAAAAGATTTTGTGCTTTGATTGTGCACTTACAAGCAAATCCTTCGCATATGATTCAGATTTACCTTCCGTAATATTGTCCTCCATATTGAAAGTCAATTCATCTCCAAACAAAGTAGATGAATCCACATCTAACACATCACTAGATACCTCCAATCTCGGCGAATCATAGTCCACACATGATCCCAAAGCATTTCTCACAAACCCATTGAACAGCCTGTTAGTACTTCCTCGACCATGAAAACTTGCTTCCCCACTCCTTTCCCATACAGTCCGCAATGGAGGGGTTCTTGCTGCCGACCCAACCCCACAACAACCACAGGAAACTGGACCTTGGAACACCGATACCGGGCTCTGATCCCAATTAAAGAATGACCCAATGAATTTACTTGGGGAATAACGAAACGAGGAGCTTAATTCTTTAAGTTCCTCCCCTTTATCATGCCTAAAAGAACCTAATTCATCTCCACCACTTGAAATGCTCGACGACAACAACGAGTGCCTTGGTGCAGATGATGAGAATAGACTTGACAACCCGCCTACTACCGGATTTGGGGATGGAGTCGCTGTTGTAGACGCCAACGAGGAGGACCGAGAAGTAAATTCTAAATCATATGATGCATGAGAACTCAACTGGCAAGGGTGCGGTGAGGAGCAGATAGTACTGGGTGAACTGGTATATAGAGCAATAGTTGGCACAGCCATGGTGTTTTTAACTCGAAATCCCACCAATTATCTCAAGGAACCAACAAAATTTCCAGTAAGAAAAACAAGCACTGGTAAAGCAGAGCAGGGGAATTCTTCCCTTTTCGAAGGATGTGAGATACACCAAGCTTTCTCTGTACGCAATCAAAGGAACGTGGCAGAAAGCATAAAATTCACGCAAATTCAGCAGAAAACGTCAGAAAAGAAGGCAAGAGAACCAAAATTCAATCAAATCACAATGCAAGAGGAAGTACGGGAGAATATGAAATCGCAGTACAGTAGTTTCAAATTCATCAAAATTGAAGGGAAAAAGGAAGAGGAAAAGATGAGTAAAAGCGGGAACTGAAATTGAATAAATCTATGATAGGAATCCATAAGAACCCTAATTGAGGAGAAAGTACATACCATGGACAAGAAAGTGAGAAGCAGCAGGAGAGAATTGGTTGTGTGATTTTCGAGCAATATGTGTGCTCTCAAAATTGCTTGGCGTGCTGGAAATCGAAAACGTGAAAGTACCATATTACCCTTTGGATCTTTCTATAAATAACTCCAACTATATTCTAGTTAATATTGTTAAATCAGTTCAAAAAAATGTTTAATGAAGTCTTAAACTTTTAAAAAAATATGTAATAAATTTTAAAACTTTATTAGATATTTTTTTGGAGATAAATATTGTTAATTACAAAAGGCAGAGATAAGTCTCTTTTGCAAGTGATAGTTGATTATTTTAATAAATTGTTTTAAAAATAATTATTGTAGTGGGGTAAGTATAAAGTAGAATATTACAAGCTAAAGTTGATTTCTTTTTTTTTTTCTTTTTTTTTTTTTT